GGGGGGGGTGGATCTGGAGCGGGGGGTGTGCACGCGCCTGGTGGGTGGTCTGTCGGGGTGTGTGGTGGGTGGGTGTGCGTGTGTCTGTGGCGTGGTGCGTGCAGATGTGTGTGTCTGGGGTGCGGCGTGCATGTGTCAGGTGTGTGCACGCAGGTGTCTGGGGTGTGGCGTGTATGTGCACATGTGTGTGTCTGGGGTGCGGTGTGTGTGTGTCTGTGTCAGGTGTGTCGCGTGCATGTGCCTGGGGTGTGTGTGTGTGCATATGCATGTGTCAGGTGTGTGTATGTGTATGTGTCAGGTGTGGTGCGTGTGCACGCATTTGGGGTGTGGGGTGTGCACGACTGGCAACAGGTGCGCGTGTGTGCGATGGGTGTTTACTGGGGGGTGAGTGTGGTGTGGTGTGTGCATGGTGTGCTTGACTGGCGAGTGGTGTGACTGGGGTGTGTGTCTGTGGGGTGTGGTGGGTGGATGTGGGGTGTGGTGGGTGCTTGTGGGGTGTGATGTGCAGGACTGGTGAGTGGTGTGCAGATGTGCACGTGCGAATGGTACGTGGGTGTGTGTATGGTGTGCGTGACTGGTGAGTGGTACAAGTGGTGGGTGTGAGGTGGGGTGTGGTGCGGGACGGGGTCTGTGTGCGGCGTGGGCTGGGCAAGTGGTGCACGTGCACCTGGCGGGCAGTGCGATGGGTGGGTGCGGGTGGTGTCTGGTGTGCAGGACTGGTGGTGGGTGGGTGTGGGGTGTGCGTGGTGGGCAGGCCTCTATCCCAGTCAGTGCCGCAAGCAATCGCCGCCCCCCGCCGCTGCCCCGGGCCAGCTTGGACCCTGCCCTCCCGCGCAGGTCCCGGGTCGCTCACGGCTGCCTCGGCCGCAGAATGCCCCCAGCCCCCGCCCAAGCGAGGCAGGAGCGACCCCAAACCCGCCCGTCCATCTTCCCCGGCAGGTTTCCATTCCCCGCCTGGCGCCCTACAGATGGTTCACCCGACCCTAGAAAACGCTGCGAGCGGGAAGTTGAACCCAGATGCCCTGGAGATAAAAGCATTCGTGACACCTGGAGAGTTGCAAAGTCCAGCCCAATTCGGGTGTCTGCGTCTGCTCAGCGAGGCCCCAGATTCACACCCGTTTGCCACCACCCCGTGCACGCGCGGTGCTCTGTTTGTCGGTGCCTGTTGTGGTCACCAACACTCTTTGGGTTGTAAACTCCTGACCCCGGGGACGTGCCCCTACCTGCGCCCGGCTCCCCGCGCTGCGGAGCTGTTTTGCAATAACAACAGCAGCTAGGTTTCATACACCACATTGTGCAACCGCGATAGCTTGGCCTGGGGCCGGGTTTCTCAACCTTGCTTTGTTTTGCTTTTAGACTCGGAGCAGCCCTGGTTAGACTCCAGGCCCTCATGGAAAATGCTAGCTTGCTTTTCACTTGTGTTTTTTGGCTGCGGAGAACTAGTACAGCAGTTCTTCCCTTGCAAAGACCTCAAGAAGACCACAAGGTTTTTAACACTATGAATTCCTACTCGGTGCCTCTGGGCTTATCTGGTGCATCATGTTTGCACGCCAAACAGCGCTCCACCCCTTACAGGGATCTCCAGGCACCCCCACGTGCCACGGCACCCTGGTTGGGCTCGGCACTCCTGCCTTAATCCTCAGGGCACTGGCTCCCCTGGGGCGCAGGCAGCTCGTTAGGAAGCATGAGAAAAACTCACTTTCCTCCTCCTGCTGCGTCCCCTCTCTTGGTGGCAGGTATGCTCTGCTCGCAGGCCGAGACCCAGCCAGACCCCCGGAGGGACGGGACGGGACAGGGGGAAGGAGCGTTCCTCACGCCAGGGCCCACTCCAGATGGCTGCCCCGGCTGGGGTTTAGAAGCAGCCCGGGTGCAGGTGCTCACATCCCCGGAGATCCAGCTCTTTGCACAAAGCCATTATTCAGCCCCTGCAGCCAGAACGTCCCACAACGTCTCGGTGACTCAGTTGCTAGTAAAATGCAAGCAACGCAGCCCAAGTCCGGCTGGAAAACGCCGCTTAGGTTTCTGCTCCCGCCCTGCCTCCCGCCATCTCCCCTACGCTCTCGCGGGCTCGGATTTCAGAATTAGCACCCGGCGCCCCGAGCTCTCCGGCACGGCTGAGCGGGTGCCTGAACAGGGGCTCTGCTTCCCGGCTGTGCTGGGGGCTTTTGGGCCCTTTTGGGACCAGGTGGGCAGTTTGGGGCTGCAGCCTCCAAGTCCTGGCTCCCTGGTCAGGGGTGGCAGGTGGAAGTGAGCGCTGAGCTCTCTGGGTTGCATGGCGTAACACCAAGGGGAAAGGGCAGGGGCAGAGACCCACCACCTTCCTCTCCTGCTGCTTCCTCCCAGGGGCCTCCAGCGGGCCCCTGCTCTCTCATGGGGACTCTGTTTTAGAAGCAGTGGTGGTCCGCAGGCCCACTTAGCCTTGGGTCACTGCTGCCTTACAGGGATCTTGCCACTCACCCTCAAAATGCAGCTGCTTCTGGGGTGAATCGGAGCATCCTAATAATATTGCTGTGCAGCAGTAAAAAAGCAGCAGCAACCCAAGGAGGATTTAGGTTCAGCTACAACAGCACAGGGAACTTGAGGAAGCCGAATGCCAGTGCCAGAGATGTGGGTCCTTTGTCATGCTTTCTCCCTGTTCCCCTCCTCTGTTGTGCAGTGAGAGGGCACCTGGGCTCCGCACGAGGCCTTGGCAAGGCCCTGCACAGCTGAGCAGGGTTGGGGGGAAAGGACCTCTCCATGGTCAGACCCAGAACTTGCCTTAGGTCTGCTCCAGACCAGGCTGCCCAGTACAGCTGCCCCAGTTCCCCTCTGCCTCCAGCACTCGGGCAGCTCTT